TCTTCCAACCCCACGTCTTTCTCCCTTTTACCTATCAGCTTTTGATGGTTAGTTTAGGGCATGTTTCAATTAGCATACTTTATGACTTGCACATGTGCATTCATTCATTTGTCTTGCACGCACCGGGCTCGACGCATCATTCAAACTGCATTGTATTTCAAATACACTTTCTTGAATACGTGTTTAACAGCATGTATCAAGTGTTGCATTCATATGCCATCTTAGATAGCCGAGCCTCTTTAGTTGCATTTTTGCATGCGTGGCATTAGACATCTTAACATAGCTAGGACCATGCATTGATTTCTAACTAGCTTCTTTTTTGGCTCGGAGTACACTGTGAGTGTTTATGCTTTAGCATCCTTGCATGTGTGTGAGTGACTTCCATGATATCATACTTGCCATGAGGCTATGTGCTTAAATGATTAACTGCATGAATGCCTGTGGATGAAGGCTTCATTGCTTGAATTGGAACAATTCATCAAAATGTGCGTTTTAAGCCCACCTTGTTTGGTGGCAAATCCGCGCTTTAGCCTACTTGCAAGTAGCACTTTCAAACCATTTTTGAAAAACAAACATGAGATGTTTTGTTCCAAATTGAGTGATTTAGTCTATACTTGTATGCTGTGCGCATCACATAGTAAGTTAGATTAATAAACCGGAATAAGAACACATGTGTTTTCAAAAACAACATATCATGTTAGTAGAGGCCGATCCTTTGATCGGGCGAGCGGGGGTGCTCATTTCAGGACCTTCCCCTCTCGTACCCAAGTTTTCGAGCCGAGAAAACTCTGGTGATGACGGACATGTGGCCTTTGGCACGAGTCAGGGCTTTCTAAATTTCTCAAAACAAAGTATTTAGGTAGCGACTCTGAAATCTGGTAAAATAGTCCATGTTTGGCGCTTTTTGATTCAAAATTGATTTTTCGAAACCAATTGCCGGATTTGGACTCTTTGGTGATTTATCAGTCTTATATTGCACTTTGTGAGATTAGATTCAGAACCATGACAGGAGTCCTAACTGTAGTAGCTAGAACACAATTCGCGCCCTCTCTGAAAAAGGGGGGTGCGCAGAGCGAGTTCGGGTGGTCTACAGTGCCGAGCACGAAGGGCACTTCGAATTCGGAGTCTTTGTGATAGCCAATCGTGATCATGGATGAAAAGTGCTCTGAATTCAGAGGCTTATTCAGCCAAGCGTGTCGAGCACGAGGGTCACTCCAAATTCGGAGTCTTTGTGATGGCCAATCGTGATCATGCACGAAGGTCGCTCCGAATTTGGAGGCTCCTTGGATCAATCATGCCGAGCACGAACGGCTCTTTGAATTTGAAGTCTTTGTGATAGCCAATTGTGATCATACACGAAAGGCGCTCCAAATTCTAAGGCTTATTCAGCCAAGCGTACTGAGCACGAAGGGCGCTCCGAATTCAGAGTCTTTGTGATGGTCAATCGTGATCATGCACGAAGGGTGCTCCGAATTCGGAGGCTTATTCGGCCAAGCGTGCCAAGCACGAGAGGCGCTCCGAATTCGGAGGCCTATATCAATCGATTATTTTAAATGAGATGGCAATAGAAAAGGTATATTATATTGCTGAGTATATGGATATATACATGCTTGCATAGCAGCAAAAACAAAAATGAACTACCATGTTGCACAGGTTGGTTTAATGATAAAATTTACGCAAGTGGGTTGAATTCCGAGGTCAGGGTAAACTTCTGCCTGCCATGTCTGAAAGGCGATATGCTCTCGCGTCGGCAATCAAATCGATCCGGTAAGGGCCGTCCCAGTTGGAGCCTCGTTTTTTGTCTGCCGATTTTTTAGCAGCAGGAAGCACTTTCTTGAGGACCAGTTTTCCAAGAGTATAACGGCGCATTTGCACACACTGATTATATGACTTAGCGAGTTATTGCTGATATCGCGCCATGCGCACAAGATCCTGATCTCGACGTTCCTCAAGTAAATTCAGATATAAGGCCAACATCATGTCGTTACGCCCCGTGTCGAAAGCCTTTGATTTCAAAATGGGAAGGCCGATTGCATGGAGAAATGATGGCTTTTGTTCCAAAGGACAAGGCAAACAACATTTTTCCCGTGGGCCGTCTCAGAGTGGTGCGGCGAGCCCACAATATACTGGGCAGCTCTTCGACCCACTTGCCCTTGGCCTTCTCCAATCATTTCTTGATTCCGTCTAGGATCACTTTATTAGAGGCTTCAGCCTGACCATTACTTTGTGGGTATGTTGGTGAGAAAAAATAAGGCCGGATACCGTATGTGTTACATAGTTCCCGATAGAGGCCACAATCGAACTGGGTGCCGTTATCGAATACAACTGCTCTAAATATGTCGAATTGGGTGATTATGTTTTTCCACACAAAGTGTTTAATATCGACATCTCAGATATGTACCAGGGACTCTGCTTCAACCCACTTTGTGAAGTAGTCTGTTGCAAAGATCAAGAATCATTTGTTTCCCGAAGCACACGGTAATGGTTTGACGATGTCAAGGCCCCATTGAGCAAACGACCAAGGACTAGTAACAGAGTTCAATTCTTTGGCAGACATGTGAGTTAACGGGGAGAACTTCGAGCATTGTTCACACTTCCTTACGTAGTTCTCGGCGTCGGTTTGCATAGTCGGCTAATAATATCCTTGCATCATGGCTCGGTGGGCCAATGAGCATCCACCAGAATAGGCACCACAACTGCCTTCATGTATCTCAGCCAACAAATCCTTGACTCTATCTGGGTGCATACATTCCAAATATGGCTCTAAGAGGGATTTTTTATAAAGCTTTCCTTGGGGATCCTAGTAATATAGTAGGGCTTTGTTCCGCAGCTTATGGGCTTCTTTCTTATCTGCTGGTAGCTGTTATGAAGAAAGAAATGCGGCGATGGGATCCATCCAACTTGGTCCTGAGTCAATGGTGTTGACCCGAGTAAGTTCAAGGGAGTGGATACTTGGCTTTGGGATGAATCCCACTTCGACGATTCGTTTGATCTCTGAGTTGATAGCAGAAGCTAAGCATGCGAGGGCATCCGCATGTATGTTCTGATCTCGGGTTATCTGATTTAATTCATGGTGATCGAACTTCATGAACAAGGAATTCGTCGTTTTCATATAGGCCGCCATTCGGTCATCCCTAGCCGCATACTCCCCTTTCAGTTGGTTAATGACTAATTTTGAGTCACAAAAAACCTGTAATCTTTTTACGCCTAGGTGAAGTGAGTTACGAAGGCTAGTTAACAGAGCTTCGTATTCGGCCTTATTATTGGATACATTGAAACCCAGTTTGACTGCCTGCTTGATTATTGCCCCTACAGGGGTCATGATTACTACGCCTGTCCGTTGCCATGTTGATTGGGTGATCTGTCATAATACATCTGCCAAATGTCTCCAATGTACATTATCCAGTCTGGGTGAGACTGAGGGGCGAGATGGTTAGACTTGAAGTCGGCATGGCATCCTGTAAACTTGGCTACGAAGTCGGCCAACACCTGTCCTTTGATGGTCGTTCTGGGCGAAAATTAGAGGTTATACTAGCCGAGTTCCAATGCCCATTTTGAGACTCACCCTGATGCTTCTGCACTACGGAGCGTTGCTCGGAGAGGGTAGTCCGTTAGTACCCCTACGGTATGAGCCTGAAAATAGTGCATCAGCTTTTTGGCAGCCACCACAAGAGCCAGGATGAGCTTTTCTAGTGGGAGGTATCGTGTTTTGGCATCGACCATAGCCTTGTTTACATGGTAAATTAGTTGTTGTTCCCCGAGTTCCTCCTTCAGTAACGCGGCGTTGACCGCCTGATTGCACACTGCCAGATACAAAATAAGTGGATCACCTGGCGATGGGGTTGCCAAAAGAGGCACTGATCGGAGATATATTTTCAATCCGTCTAGCACAGCCTGGCACTCAGGAGTCTACTGGAATGCTTTGCCTTGTCGAAATGTGTGAAAGAATGGTCAGAAGCAATCCGAAGAACGGTTGATAAACCTATTGAGAGTAGCGGCCATTCCCATCAGCTTTTGTACTTCTTTGGCTGACTGAGGAGAGCCGAGTTCAGTAATGGCCGTGATTTGCCTCTGATTGGCTTCTATCTCGCGATGGTTCATGATATAGCCGAGAAACTTGCCGGATCCGATGTCGAATGCACACTTCGAGGCATTGAGTTTTATTTTGTACTTGTGGAGAATGTCGAAAGTCATTGCTAAGTTGGCTAGATGAGCATACTTTTCTTTGGACTTCACCACCATATCGTCGATGTATACTTCCATGGTGCGGTCGAGTTGTTCCTTAAACATGGTAGTGACCAGCCTCTGGTACGGTGCCCTCGCATTCTTCAGTCCGAAGGGTATGACCTTGTAGCAATAGGTTCCTCTTGGGGTGAGGAATGCAGTCTTTTCCTCACCCCATACGTTGTGGTGTACCGTTGCGTCCACAAGCTGGTCGATTCTGGGAAGAGGAAAACAATCCTTGGAACAGGCCCTATTCAAGTCCGTGAAATCCACACAGACACGCCATGATTCGTTTTTCTTCTTTACAACCATGGTATTGGACAGCCACGTGGGATAAGTTACTTCACAAATTGCCCTGGCATCCAGCAGCCTGTCAACTTCATCAACAATGGCCGAAATATGCTCCACGGTTGATTGCCGACTTTTCTAAATGGTTGGTTTGACTCTTGGGTTGACGTTTAAACGGTGTTGGACCACACTCGGATCCACCCTCGACATTTCATATGGTGTCCAGGCAAATACGTCAATGTTGCCGAGTAGGAAGGAAACCAGCTCCTGTCTATCAACTTCGTTCAGGGAAGTACCGATCATAAAGAACTTGTCCGGGTCCCCTTTGATTTTGACTTGGTCAAGATCTTTAGTGGCCTTCTCGCTGGGGGTTTTTCTAATGTCCTCGAGGCTCTCTTAATTCTAAACTTTAATCGAGTTCACTTCCAGTTCCTTTGGCCTTTTTGCGGAAGCAAGTGAAGTAGTTGATGGTAGGTGCTTGGTACAGCTTACATAGCGTACAGCCAGGTTCTCCACATGATGAGATTGTATGGTAACGGGAGTTTGACGACCAGAAATTCTACGTTGACTGATTTGGTATCCACCCGCACTGAGAGTGCGATCTTGCCCAAAAGGTACTCGAGATTGGCGTTGAAGTCGAATAGTGGGTAATCGGCTAGCAGCAGGTCTAAATCAGTGAAGTCGAGTTTGATAGATGTCTTGTAATACATGATTTCTGAGGTGCTTCCTTGATCGATCAAAACACGCTCGACCGTGAATCTGTTCACATGCAGCTCGATGATGAGGGCATCAACGTGGGAGAGAGTTACTCTATCCAGATCGGTGTCGTCAAAGTTGATTTTGCTAGTTTCATGGGGCCGTTTAGCTGGTATGAATGGCTTGGGCAGGCTAAGTTGCAACCAAATTGTATGTACCTGAACTGGAGGCAGTAGGCTACATATCATATGAATCACACCAAGTGGAGGTGAATCCAGGTGTAGGGCTACCGTGTTTGGCAGTTTTTCCTTTCGGACATGTTGTACCAGTCGGCCATCTTGTACCAACTCCTCCAAATGGTTCTTTAGCGCGTAACAGCTGTCAGTTTCGTGGCCATGGTCCTTGTGATATTCACACCGCTTGTCCCTTCGTCGAGTGTCAGGGGGTCCAATCATTTTGGACGGCCACTTAAAGAATGACAAATGCTGGACCTTGGGTAGGATCTTGCTGGTCGACTTGACCAATTCCGTATACTTCCTATCTAAACGTCTAGGACGCCTGCTATCCACTTGGTATTGCTCATTTGGTCGTCGTGAGCACTGTTCATTCCACTGATGTGAATCCCACCAATTATCTCATTTTGTCTGACCCCGCCATTCAGGACTTTGTGGTACGGCGCTGACAGGCTGGACGAGACCAGGTGGTGTCGATTTCACAACCTTTTGACCAGCCTTGACGTGAAGGGCATTATCTTCCACCTTGTAATATTTCTCCACTTTTTTCATTAATGCCCAGACCGTTTTGGGAGAACGTCTAGTCACCGAACTTCTGAGGGGACTGTCGGGGTGTAATTTTATCTTAAAGGTGGTGATGGCTATGGAATCATTGTAGGCGTCGTCCACTAAGTTGAAACATTCCCAGTAGCGTGCCGAATATTCACAAAAAGTCTCTTCCAGCTTGATCTGTATTGCCCAAAGAGAATCGACTTGCTTTGGCTGGACATCATTGGTGATGAATCTTGCCCTGACGGACTTTTGAAGCTAATGAAAACTTTTTACTGAGGCCGGCTCCAGTTTATAATACCATGTGACGGCCAATGGCGCTAAGCTGCTTGGAAACATTTGGCACATAAGTGCTTCATCATTAGCATGCAATGTCATCGCTTGCTTGTAATGCTAGAAGTGATCCGTAGGGTTAGATTTACCGTCATACAGGGTAAACGTTGGTGCTTTGAACTTTTTAGACAGCGCAGCCCTCGTAATGCGTCGCATGAAGGATCGTGTTTATCCTCTTCGTCCGAACTTCCTCATCTATGCCGCACACGCGGACTCCCCTCAAATGAACTGGTTATGTCAACTCGCCCCGTCTTCCTGGGTTCTTGGGATGATGAGTCGGAGGCGCTACTAATATCGTGTTTGCGATGTCGATGTCGTCGATCATTCTTCTTTTCTGGTGATTGACCCGATCACGGTGTGGTACGGTTTGTTGGGATTTTGCCAACCCCAAAGCCAACTCCTTACGTAGACGTTCATTATCAGCTGCCATATCTTCTAAACACTGTTCATTTCGCTTTGCTTGGTCCATTATTGTTTGCATGGTTTCCTATACAGAGGTGGAAGGCAAAGACAAAGTTATCGTGTTAAAATTCAAAACTCTTCGTGCGGTAGTGATTTCTAGGCCAAACATGACTCTTGGTGTAACATCGTCCACAATGAGCGAAGGATCATCTACTATGTCTGCCATGGATGAGTTTGAGTATTTCCACAGACGGCGCCAATTGTGGTAAAGTGGTTTGGAAATACTCTTTGATCTAGATAGACGATCTTGATCCTCTAGTTGGTACCTCAAACAGGAATAAACTCTCCGGCAGAGGGTGTCGGAATTCGCACTCCGACGGATAAGTCAGTCTTCTCTCAAGTTTTCTTCTATCTCAAGTTATCACATTTTTTCGCATACCTCACTTTGAAAAATACTGCTCCTTTTTATATCACTTTTCTGGGGCCCATTTTCTTATCATGGACACCTTGTCCTCACAGCTGGCTCCCAGTTGTTCCATAGGTTGTATGTTCTATTCGGCCCTTAAGCTAGGTTCTTATTCCGCCACGGTTGACCTACCTCATTCGTCTCGACAATCTTGTCCCAAGGATAACCGTTATGAGCCGACTTGTATACGGCTCATACTTATGTTCAGTATCTCAAATTCGGCCCCCATAGTAGTATATGTATCAACATCGATATAAACATTAGGAATATTAGGATCCATAGTAATGTAAGTAAAACAATATATAAGAATTAACAATTAATTTAAATATTGTGTAAATACAATCAGTAAAAAATAATAATTAATATATGTGCACAAATAATTATTGAAAAAAATGAGTAGCTAATAAATTTAATTAAACTAATTATATTATCGACTGGTGGATACGATACAAAAATTAGCTTCTTTTGATAAAAGTTTCTTGTTATACAATTGCAATTGTCACTTAGGGATGACACTTCAAAATTAATTGAGAGTTAAGAGAGATTGAGAGTTTAAGAGAGAGAGAGAGAGAGAGAGAGAGAATTATTTATTGTGAGATTTATTTTTAAAAATGAAGGATATTTATAGTAGTTTTAAAGAGTAAAATAAATTTATAAAAAAAATATATATATATATTATCATTTAAATTATGATCGTTGGTTTGTATTCGTTGGTTTGAATTATGATCGTTGGTTTGTTAGTTTGAATTATGACCGTTAGTTTCTTATTACACTCCATTTCTCTCTCTCTCTCTCTCGTCTCTTTTCGACTGCGATAGCACTGCCATTAGCAGCCACAGTGCTCGCAGCCCACTCCACGCCCACACTTCATTTCTCTCTCTCTCTCTCTCCCTCTCTTTCTCCCCCTCTGTTGTTCCTGTGGCTAGGCTAGCCTAGGGGTGGTAGGTAAACTATTACACTATAGAACCCCCATTTTTTACGGACTATTATAAAAAAAAATTATATTTAAATTATTAATGTTATTTATTTAATTATATAAATTTTTATTTCAGGTCTTGTAATTCAATTACAAATAATTGTACAAATTATTAACTATTAACTATCATGTTATTTTGTTTTTGTTTTTGTTTTTTTTATTTTTACAAGATCAATCTTTTCATTTATTTTTTATTTTTTAATTATTTAACCGTTACAAGTACCTTAGGCCCATGGCCAAGGTACTGGGCTGGGCTCGGGTCCGAGCCTAACCAGACCAAAATGAGCAGGGCCCAACTCGGGCCTCGGGCGGGCTTCGAGTTGCCCATGGGCCTTGGGCCATTTTTACACCCCTATCATTGATTTCATCAGGGAATTTGGGTGCAAACTCAATGCTCCGATCAATAGAAATGATAGTGCCATATGTAGACACCCTATTTTTGACCGACCTTAAGACTCAGACGTCACCGATTGAGCGCTTGGTGATGTTGCATGTTGTGCTTCTTCAGAAGTTTCAGAGTCGCGGCCGTGAGCCCTGCCTCCGGACTTCCGAACCCTTTTCTGTGCCTTGTCTCGGTTTGCGAACCAGACTCGGTTTTCTCCGTTTCTTTTCCTGAGGGGAGGGAGAGGTCCCGTAGACCACCTCTCAATGTCCGTAGGCTACATTTGGTGGCCGTAGGCCATTTTGCCCATTTCGGAGTCCGGTTATCTAGTATCACAAGTGAATCGAAAGTTGAATCTACATTGGATTTATAAGTCCAGCCCACATGTTGTTCATGTACTAGTAAAAGATTTGGCCGCGCAAAATTAGCACTCATTAATTTATTCAAAAAGACAATGTCTGATGTGATTCTACTTTGTATGTATGAGACGACTTACACTTAGAATGGATTTGAATTATTCTGAGCATAAATTTTTAATACATAGAAATTTCACTTATTTTTTGAATTTTACATCAAGCATTGACAAAATAAAAATAACCAAATACACACATGCTTTTTATTTTCAAAATATGCATTTTAGTTTCCAAAATATGCAAACAATTTTTATATTTAAATTATTAATCTTATTTATTTAATTATATAAATTTTTATTTCAAGTCTTGTAATTCAATTACAAATAATTGTACAAATTATTAACTATTAACTATTATGTTATTTTGTTTTTGTTTTTGTTTTTTTATTTTATTTTTACAAGATCAATCTTTTTACTTATTTTTTTATTTTTTAATTATTTAGCCATTACAAGTACCTTAGGCCCATGCCCAAGGTACTGGGCTGGGCTCGGGCCCGAGCCTAACTGGACCGAAATGAGCAGGGCCCAACTCGAGCATCGGGCGGGCTTCGAGTCGCCCATGGGCCTTGGGCCATTTTTACACCCCTATCATTGATTTCATCAGGGAATTTGGGTGCAAACTCAATGCTTCGATCAATAGAAATGGTAGTGCCATAATGTATGTTATGGCCAAGAAAACATACAGTTGTTTGAAATAATTTCATTTTTGGTACAGATATAACTAAGTTGGATAATAATATTTTTGAAAATATGCAAATGATTGATATGCTAATCAACTGAGAAGGAAAATACCAAAACATCATCAATATAACAAATTGAAATCCTGTGTAAGGAGTAAAAATATCATTCATGATATGTTGAAATTCATATGGGGCATTTTTTAATCCAAAGGACATAACATTCCATTCATAATGCCCAAATGGTACAACAAAGCCAGTTTTATATCAATCATGTTCAGCAATTTGAATTTGCTAATAACCGAGTTTTAAGTCAAATTTAGAAAAGATGACTACATCCTGAAGTCGATCTAAAAGATCTTTCTTATTCGGAATTAGATATCTTATCCATTTAAGAGCATCATTAAGAGGTTTATAATTAATATCCCGAAGTCGACCTAAAAGATCTTTCTTATTCAATTTAGATATCTTATCCATTTGAGAGCATCATTAAGAGATTTATAATTAATAACCAATCTTGGCACACCTCTTTCTTTTTCTGTATTTTTGTTAACATGAAATGTTGTATAATTCCAAGGGGAGTAGCTAGTTCTAATAAGCTTTTTCTGTAGCAGACTAACAATTTCAGTTTTACATAATTCCAAATACTCAGATTTCATTTGATTGGGCCTAGCCTTTGTTGGAATATGGCATTCATCAAAATTGGGTTTATACAGAAGGGGATCTATATGTTTCTTTCTATCCCAAAAGGTATTAGGGATGTTACTACAGATTTCATATTGAAATTCATGTTGAATGTGTTGTTTGATACTAGACTGTTGTAACTTTTGATCAATTATTAAATAAAAACTTCTTTTTGAATAAAGTTCAGCAGTTTTTCTTTGAAATTGACTAGATCCTTGATCTGATCTAATTCCTTAGTATACGGTTCTATAATGAGTTCAAAAACAATTGATTGATTACTCATAGAATTATGAATTCCTGTTGAATCAATTTTGTCTATAGGCATTAATAGACATAGAAAT